GATAAAAGGACTCTATACTTAAGAGAAACTTTTTTCCTACTGTTCTCTATTATTTGCAAGGCGTGGTGTTTGAAGCTCACTGTTACAATCCAGTTTTATGAAGACCTGGCAGTTACAAACTGACCTGAAAAAATCTGTCTCTCCCAGCCCTCAAGGAAATCCCTCACATACACTGGAGGATCTGGCATCAAAGGCCTTGGAAAAGATAGAAAATTGGCTGAACTAATAGATTGACCATTTCCTTCTGGAAATCAACGGAAGCAACCTGTGGAAAAGGGAAAGCATTCTTACTGAGGCTGGCTATAAGGATGAATGGGTAGCAGACCCAGAACAGAATTTAGGCAGAGGGGTGTAGAAGGACCAGAGGGTGTTCTTCCTTACACCACCATCACCTGCAAAGTCAAAATCAAACACTGAAACAATTCTAACAGCCTTACTCTAAAGCCAATACAGAGAAACTACGAGTTCGGAGACAAAAAACAGCAACAGAGATGTGCTGCCTGAAGACAGGAATACAACTGATCTCCAGACTACGTGATGTGAAAGTTCAGGAAAAAAACAATAAAATTTTAAGAATGTTTTATAATTTTATGAACAGGATTGGCAATGGTAATCATCTACAAAATCCAATCTTGTGACATCACAATCTGTGCGTGCAACAGTCATTTTCATTAGTATATTAATTTCAAGTACTCTTAAGTTCAAGGCAGACACTGAATTTCCATAAAACCTGTGAGATTTAAGCAATCCAAATACTTCCCTCAGTTCTGCCTCAGATGTTCACAAAGATCTTATAATTATCAGCCACGTATTTATTCACTTTTGAGGATGTGGCTCTAAACACCTACTCAGGAAGGGCTGTATTTCCAAGAATTAAGTCTATTTACAATATATATATTTAAAAAATAAATAAAATCAGTGTGCCATCACAGATGAAAGAAGGTAACAAGCTGCTGTTTACAAAGGCTCAGTATTTCAGCCTTCAACACACAATCTATGAGAACGCTGAAACCTACCCTGCAGTACCTGCAATGTTCTCTCAGACAAATTGAGCCATTTTCAACAAAAAAAAAGAGACCTGGCATAAAATATTACCATTCAATAAAAAATCATTATTTGGTCCCTTAAGTAGCCCCTGAAGTAGAGGGTTGTGGTGGAAATTTATCAGGCATTTTCCTCCAAATGGAATACACGCTTCGGTACCCTAAGAGGTCTATAGTACATGAAATTTTAACGGAATTGTTAATGTCTTTCTAGGTTTTATAATACCACAAAGAGATACTCATCATGCACTTTCGCCACAGCAGATAAATGCTAATGCCTGTAGTACACAGCATTTTCACAGTGGTTTTGAAGACAAGCCATCGTCTGCTCTCACGGTGGGCAAATTAATGAGATCAATAAATTTTGCAGTATTTCCAGATACAAATCTTTACCTTCACAAAAATGCTCAGTAAATTCACAATGTACAGAAGGGACCACAAACAACTTCTTAGGTGGATTCCCTGAAAGGTTAGCCTGCTCTGAGAAATGCAGAATGTCAGAGGCCTGGGAATTTTCATATGTGAACCCAGACTTTGATGTGGGAAACATTGGTGGAAGATGCAAAAGGTCAGAAGCGAGGGTCACCCTTATCAACAAGGTTATATGTTAAGTTAAACTGAAACTACGAGAAGCATGCTACCTGGAACCACAAGCAGCGCTCTGATTACAGTAAATATATTTTTAAAGGGCAAGACATTTTAAAAGTGATGTTTAAAAGTGTATTTATCAGAATAAAGAAAAAATTACATTAAATAAGTTTTTTCTCAGGTAATTTCCATAAATATTTTCAGTATCATGAAAGCTAATGCTACTTCAAAAAAACCTCTAGTCATAGCGATTCATTGTCTGATTGGAAACAATACTAATATCAATTACAGATTCAAAAATGCACAGCTTTTCTGCCTATTTTTAATTGGTAATTTTTCAAAAAAAAATCTCAGCTAATTTTATCTTGTGATTTTTGCTTTGTTTACAACAAAATTATGATTCAGAGCCTACTGCTGCTAATCTTTTAGGACAGATATGGGAAAAAAATATTATCTCTCTTTTCAATGTGAATGTGCAGGCATCAAAATCCATCCTTGTATTTGAGCTAAACAAACCTTGAGCAGAGGCATGTGGGCTTGGGCAAGCTCTACAGGAGAACAAAAAGGGAAATTCCACAAGAATTACTTCAGACTTGTTAGGGTTTTGTTTTTATTTTTATTTGAGGAGGAGTTTTTGACCATGTACAGTTCCCCTCCAACCTACTCCTACTGAGGTTATCTGTCAATTTTGGGCTCCTTAATCTGCAAGGCAGCCAAGTGCACTGTTTAGGATTCAGGTCTGTTGGGTGCAGCACATTATTATACGCCTCCTGAAAGTGCACACGAGTTAGTTATACAAAAGGAAGGCAATTTGTTTAATGTGCTGAAGTTAACAGCAGCTGAGGTTGTTCACTTCATGTGACAGTGCCCTGAAGTGGTATTAGAAATATAGCCTCAGCTGAGTTTGTGCAAGGCATAATCCTGGGTTTGCTGTGCTCAGTAGAGAGTCTGTGGGCTCCTGGGAGGAGGTCTGTGCAGCGATGCTGCCTCGCCACCACTGCTGACACCTCTGGAGCTGCTAGGAGCCTTCCTTCCACAAAATACAAGACAGTTTTAGCTGCAGATCGACCAGTGCTGCTGGAGTGACTGGCACTTCCCTGGTAGCTGCACCTACACTGTCCTGATTGATTTAAATTAGCTGAGCTCATTCAAAGTACCTTTACCACGTCAAGTAACGCTGAACACTCATTAAACCAAACAAAAACCCCAACTCTCACCGGAATGATGCTACTACTCCCATACAGTGACACTGATAAGATTTGGGGTGGCAGATAAAACTCGCTTCCCCAGCACACAAGACAGACCTCAGACTTGTGGGGCAGCTTGGGGGCAGGGAATGAGTTGGCTTGTTCTGGTGTCTTTTTGTCTCCTTCTGAGGCTAGATCCTACCAAGAGACTAGCAGGCACAGCTTAGAAGTTCAACTTGAAGGAATTAAAGAGTAATTGCTGTCTGTTTTCCACATTCATACAGGGAGCTCCTTACTCCCTCTTCATAGACATGTGAATGAAGGTCACTGTCCTGCTTTTAGATTTTATCGCAGCTGAGTATAATGAATGTAACAGCTTCCTTTTTGAAAAAAAGGCAAGGTCAGAAAAATAGGTCATGGAAATAACCATGTATTATACCTGAGGCCAGGTTTCGGCGCTATTATACAAAACAAGAAGCATCTTATACTTTAGATATACACAAGATAATGAGCCCAAGGATCTGAAAAGGTGAATTTTCAAGGTGCATTACAGTATGTACTCTTCAGAAGCTTCAAGTTCTAGCCTACAGTTTGATGTAATTCTCTAGGTCATATTCTGTTCCTCCAGTTCCCTGCAGACGTGTACCCATGTATTCTATGTGGAGTTTGTTGAAAATCAATGCAATTGCCCAGGGAACTAGATGCTTTTGCCATTAACTAAGGAATTATTGTTTTCCTTTCAAGAAGTGCCTGTCAACAGAAGCTAATTTACTGATTTGTTTTGTAAATATTGTGCTTTAAAAAATGTAAACCTGATATTTGAAATTCATTGTTTTTGTCTTGCCAAATTTTGAGCCATAGACAGATAACTTTTATGAGGCTTCCATCACTCCAAGGCCCTTTTTCTAATGACTACAGTATCATTTGAAACATGTATGTTTAGTTACTTAAATGGCAAATTGCTTTGCACTGCCTTTGAAGTACATTGCATAAATATTGAATTAAAACTTTAACTCACACTTCATAAATAATTTATTTTAAAAATACTATTCCGTAAGACCATCCGCTGCTGAGATGTTCGATTTTCTGGTAAAAACATGAAAATATTGCAAGTCTTACTTTAATTTGTTGAAGATTTGCTAAAAGCCACATGTGATACATGTTACAAGAATTGTATTCAAACAAAAACCTCAGGAAGCTAAAAGTCTTATGCTCTAGTAGGTTTTAGACCTTTGCATAAGCTGTTTCAGTGGCAGGAGGAAATGCTGAAATCTATTCAAGGAAGCTTTCAAGTACAATTATCTGATACACCTGAAAATGGCTTATAGTACATTTTGTAATGATCAGAATAGCTTATGGATTTCTTTATATTTCATTTCCCTACAGTCCTCCCTTTGCCACTTCTTTTTCATGTTGCTGCATTTAAACTGCTGTACAAACTTGTTCAAAGTGCTAGACATAAAAAAAAAAATCAAAGGAAATTTCAGATAATTAACTTTGATGAATGAGCATATTTTAATTCATGTCTGGTAATATTCTTGTTAATGACATGTCTGCTTAGGACATCCATTAGAAGTCCATTAACTTAACAGGGAAAGTCTAATAAAGTTATCCTGGAAATTTTCTGGTATATTAACATTATGGACTTTTAATGAATATCTGCTGTAGGAATTGCTATTAGCAAGGCTACCATTCTAATTAAACTTATGCTCTAAGAGAGTGAAGAAACAGCATGAAGATACTAACAAGCAGAAGTAGCACATTTTGGGAAAATTACTGTAAGAGAGATTGGTATAGGTTACAAAACATGCTAATAGTAGCAGATATATATATATGTGTTATATATCTTTTTTTTTTTTCTTTTTTGTAGCTTGCCATCCAATATGCCAATATATTGTGCTTCCTTCATACAATCAACTGCTGAGGCTCCCCACTTACTTCTCTGTTATTGAGATTGAGCAGCAATGAAAGGCTAGGAGATACAAAATTGAAAAATAATTTTTCATGACAATGCCAAGTAAAAAAGTGTACTTTGGAAAGCTATTACCTATAGGCATCCCACTTTGTTATCAACCCATCTGAAGATTCATCAAGGCCTTCTACACTCCTGCTGACAATCACAGTAATACAGCTAAAGGTCTTTATATGTGTGTGTGTGTATAAAAGAATCCCCCCAATATACCTATTTTTTCATATTTATCCTTCACCAAATCTTCCAAACCAATGATATTCCAGAAACTGTCATCCCAACCTCCATCTGAAGTGTATGTCCACTTGCAAACTAACGTACAGAGGGACCTGAAAGGAGACAACATATGCACAGAATCAGGAAAATGAACACAAATGATTTTAAAGTTGTGACTAGAAAGACAGTTGTGCAAAATGATCTCTTCAATGACTGGTCGAAAGTTCCAAGCATAATGCTAATACCAAAACAAAAATATGTTACAGTTTGGAGTGTATACCTTGAGATAACCTTAAAAGGACCCTATGTTTGAGATTGTTTCCTGCTAACACAGCTTATTGTCTTGCCACTTCATTGCATAAATAAGTCAAATAACAGGTCATGCACATGCATAGAAGACAGTATAGCACGAACATAACAGCTCTTCAGCAAGCAGCTCGAGGAAAGATTCCTGCTTTTCCAGGCTGTACATAAATAGCAGTGTTTTACACAAAGCATGTCCTTAGAAAAACCTTCTATTACTTATGTTCAAGCTGAATTACAAGTTGCAGGACATGATGTATGCCCTGATAATTAGATTAAATAGCATTGCTTCAATACCTGCAGGTACAAAATGCCTTTATCAGGTGAATGTGTACGAGCAAAATCACATGCAACTACAGGAGCTTCTGTTACAGCATGTGTTCAAGTACCACTATCATCGGGTCTGTATCTCAGCAGAAGCTGATGACAGACCAGTGACATGCTGAAATAGCATTAGCCATGATGCAAGTGAGTGCAACATTAAGCTCTTGTTTCAGGTCTTGTTTCTGATAAGACGATGGTGAACTTCACTGTGACAGTAAAGCATCACAAGGGCAGAGTACAGGAGCAGAATATAAACAAAACACAACAGCATGTGCACAAACGCTATTGGAACAGTTTTTTTCCCCTCCTAAAGTGATCCATGCCCCCAGCCTCCCATTTGCCCCAAAACATGAATAATGTTCTGGAAGATTTAGTATTTAACCAACTGCTGTCTGTCTGAACACTAAGAACCATCTCAGAACATCAGTATTTAATTGTGCTTGAAAAGTCAGTAAAGTAGAAGGTATTAATAATGCTAACTACGACTGAAAATTTCAGCTATCTTTAATCTTCAGAATACTGTTGAACCACCAAGAACAAGACAGCTGTGATGCATCTCTGAAACACAACATCATAACTGTTCTTGAGGAGAAAAGCCCCTTTAAGGGATTCATTCTTTGGTATCTTACAAGATAACTTATTTATGACTCATTTTCAGCTGAGGTGTACTTTCACAGATGTATACTTTTTATTAGTATTTTATAATCTCATGCAAGCATCTTCAGCACAAACTGAATTTTACTAAAGCATCTGAACAGTTTTGCAAGAAAAAGATCAGATGCTTTAGTAAAACTAACATAAAAATCCCTTTCTACAAAGCGTATTTTCTGAGTTAAAGCAAACACTCCCTTTTTTCCTACGTGACCTACCTAGGGACCTAAGTAAGGAGAACTAAACTAAAAGTCTCATTGCATTACATATTGCTACGTTACCATAATACCCAGGAAAACCAGCCCTGGACAAGAACCCCACCACACAAAAGGTACAAACACTGGAAGATTGCTGCCTTCAGAAAACTTAAAAATAAGACAGCAGTGAAGTTTAGAGAGGTGTCTGAAGCAAGCCAAGTATGTCAGCACCTAGAACCCACACCTATAAACACACTGAAACCCAACTAGATACTCAAAATACTAACTGTGCAGTCAAACAGAGAGACAAAACATCTGCTGGTAAAGATGCCATTGTACTTTTCCTATCTAGGCAAAGGAGGGCTTCTTATTTTACAGCTGTAGCAGAAAAGTATGCAATAAACATAAGGCATTATCTCTCTCCCTTTGAAAGGGAAGTTGCTAAGAGAATGGAGTCTGCTGCTTTCAAATTCAACAAACACTCCTGGCACAGCTTCCTACTCACCTGATAGAAATACCCTACAAACGATGCGACAGTGCATACCTCTCCTCCACTAAAACCCTAATAACAGAAACAAGGAAAGAAATCAGCAAACAGAAGAGAAGAGAAGCTGTTTTTATTTATTAGATGCAAATCAAACACTGCAGCTTCTAGACACTGATACTGTACACACCATACAGCCAAATGAGAACAGAAAGAGACTTTCCTCACAGCTAGAAAACTTCTGCAACTTGGATTCATCAAGTTTTGGGGGTTTACAATGAGAACCAAGGATGCAGAAGTGAGGGCAGGATTACAGAATCATAGAACGGCTTGGGTTGGAAGGGACCTTAAAGATCATTGACAGTTACTGTTCTCAGTGTAATCCTCTGAGCAGAAAAGATCATGCAATTATGTGGACTTTGTATCCTCCCATTTTCTCATCCAGGACAGAAATGTGTATTTTAAATGCATAAATGCATCATGTTTTCCTTCATTCTGTTCTTCTGGAGTGACTTTTTTTTTTTTTTTTTTTTTCCAAACAGAGGATTGCTGCTGTTCAGTGATATTCCCACTGCTTAAAAAGTTGCAGTGCCTTCTCTTTGCAAGAAGCAAATCTATTAATATTACCTGTCTTGGAAAAAAAAAAACATACGGAGTTAACTATTTAGAGCCTTAACAATACAGTGGAGATTATTTCAGGGTTGCAGTTCAAGCACTGTTGAAGTCTGCCTCCTCCTCTTCCCTCCCCCCACTTCTTTTTTTTAAAGCAGTTTAGGAGTAGATCAGACAATTACAGTTCAGTGTCTGGTAGGAAAACAGAAAAACATATGACTGTAACTATAGCAATGATAATGTTGATATAAGAAATTCCAATGTCCAAGGATTTAAAAGCCAAACACAGAAATCTAATTAGAACCTTTGACAAAAACTGGGTGAATAAATAAATTGTATGCTGAAGAAAATACTGGGGGAAAAAAAATAAACATTTTCCCCAAATGAGCTCAAACATCTCATTTAAAAGAAAAATGAAGACACAATTTCAATGAAAGATTATTTCATGACTTTAGGGAAAATGTAGACATAAAGAGTGAAACAATAATGCATTAAGTTTTCCCAAATATGGTAAATATCAAACCATAACAATTTATCATCAGAACTGAACATGTATTTTTCTAATTAGATCAATGCTATGAACTGTTGCCACACCCTGAAAAATGCTCTAAGGATGACAGCTAAATGTCATGGCTTCAAAGATCACAAAGCAACTCCCTCTGAGTCTCTGTGCTTATCCAAAGATAAACTTAAACTGCCCTGCAAGACTCCAAAGAGCAGGTTTTAAACAAACAAGGGCTGGTTCTTCCATGCAGCTCACTCTCAGCAGCGCTTCATTACATATATTACACCTATATACACATACATACATATATTACATAATTACATTACATATAGGCTCACTGAAATGGTGTGAGCAGGGGACAGGCAGACCAGCCCCATCCACTCAATTCCAGCCTGTTGGAGCTTTCCTGTGGGGTATTGCTGACCATACGAAACAGCAAGCCTGTAAGTGTTTTCATCCTGTCCATATAGATTTATAAATGCAAAGTGCTCACAGAAAAAGGATAAATAACCAATTTCTAGTTGAATTTTTAACACAATATAGAAAATATGAACTGGGAAGGACATGTCTTCCCAAATGAATCAGCTGGCATATCTATATAAGTGGAAGGTTTTGATATGAATGCCAACCTCAAATCTGAGCTACAATTTATCTCATGCCACTAGGCTTTCACTTTCATGGTCACAACAAGAACCTCAAAATGCTTGTTTTGTAAATACCTTACAAGTGTTTATGTTTCTCTGGGATTTATGTTTCTCTGGGATTTAAGGTTCTTCTTCCACCCTTGCTGATACTCATTTTCCACATAGAAAGAATACATTTAATTAAATGATACAGCTTTCTACAAATCTTTAATATTTAAGAGAAAGTAGTGTAATGCAGAAGGGCATTCTGCTCTCTTAGGTAACAGATCAAGAAACTCAGTTAAAGGATTTGAGACCTCTGTAGCAACAGATAAATTTTACGACATGGTTCAAAAGAACCTAGATGTGTTGGTCGGCCACCCACCTGATAAGGTGCTCTAATAATTACACACGGTTGCTCGATCTGTGTATTCCAGAGAGCTGTATACATGTGAAGAAAGAATAGCTTATTCATGTTTCTTCACCTTTGAATACAATGGTATAGATGCATATCAGTTTTATTGCTAATCCCCCTTCAGCATATAACCCTGAGGAAGTGATAACTCAAATGGTACCTTAGGAAATCTGGATCCAAAGAGACTGGCCAGTAAAGAGGAAGTTGAGGAACCAAAGCATTTATTTAGCAACTCCTAACTTTTATGAGATGAAGCACAGACATTAAGCAGAAAAAGTACTGATGTTCATTCTATCGTATTCCTTTTTTTCCTGATTATTTGGCTGTACTACCTCAATTATTTGGTCACAAACGACAGACTTGCAGCAGTGGATCCTGGATGAACCAGCTGCACAGAAGCCAATGCTCCCCATCCTTTGCCACCAGAGTCTGATGGGTTCAAAGGTGCTAAACTGAAAGGCAATAATCCAGGACACAATCCTCTACTGACTGCCTCATCTCACACAGACCTTCAGAAGACAAGGAGTGGAACCCCCCAGTAACGCAGGCCATATTTAGCCAGGCTGACAGACAATGAAGTCGAACTCTTTTCTTCAAGCACATTCCAAATACAATGAAATGAAAGATTTCCTTTCTCTGTTCAGAACAAAACATTTTGCTCAGAATACTCCCACCTGAAAAGCAACACTTTCAAATGGAAAACTTTAATTTAAACCATATTTTCCAACAGGAATATGATTATGTTTAGAGTTTCTTACAAATTTTAGTCTATGAAGAGCGATAGGATCCTCCTTGCATCCAAGAGCCTCAAGAAAAAAACAAACAAAACAAAACAACCTTAAAATTCATTACAAATTAGATTTGGCTGGGCACAGCATATTACACAATCCTTTCTGTTACAGTCTAGCTTTGAGTTCTTGCACATCTTTTGCTGGGAACTGGCTGTGACTATGCTGAAGTCCTGTATGACCAAAATCTTGGTATGTCCTCACTAAAATA